TCACTTATCTTTGCCAAGAAACTGGAAAGACAACATCCTGGCCAACTGACTGGAAGAAATCCATATTTGTGTCCATCCTAAAGACAGGTGACCCAAGAAAATGCAGAAATCATCAGACATACCATTAGTATTGCATGCAAATAAAATACTGCTAAAGACAATACAATAAGGCTGTAACTGTACATTGACCGAGAACTTCTAGGGGTTCATGATAGATTCATAAGAGGACATAAATGAGGGATTTCATTGCTAACATCAGATAGATTTTGACTTAAAGCAGAAAGCTGTTTACCTGTGCTTTATTGACTATACAAAAACTTTTGTTTGTGTGGATCATGACAAACTATGGGTAACATTGCAGAGAATGATTATTCTGGAACACTTAATTGTGCTCATGAGGAACCTGTACATAGACCAAGAGACAGTTGTTCAAACAGAACAAGGGAACACTGAATGGTTTAAAATTAGGCAAGATGTATGCCCGAGTTGTATTCTTTTACATATTTACTCAGTCTGTATACAAATAATCTGAAAAGCTGGATTATATGAAGAAGAACATGGCATCAGGATTGGAGTAAGACTTATTAACAACCTGCAATATACAGAAGATACCACCTTGCTTGCTGAAAGCAAAGAGGACTTAAAACACTTACTGATGAGGATCAAAGACCACAACCTTTGGTATAATTTGTACCTCAGTGTAAAGAAAACAAAATCATCACCACTGGACCAATAAACAACATCCATATAAATGGGAAAAAAAAGATTGAAGTTGTCAAAGACTTCATTTTTAAAAACAAAGCTTTTTATTGTGAATTGAGTGAAGATTTACAGAGAAGATCATCAGTTTCACATTAAACAAATCTTATACTTTGCTTCATTATATGGTTACAATCCCCTCCATGCACCATCAGTTAACAGCATTTGCTCCAACCACTGCATTCCTCCCTGTCTCCCACCACTCCCATCTTTCCTCTGCCAGCCTCCCTCTGGTTCCATATTGTCTGCCCTGTCACCCATGTGTGCTTGGATCAACCATCAACACTTATGGAAGCAGCAATCAAGAAATCAAACAACATATTGCATTAGGCAGAATCTCTTTAAAATATTGAAGACCAAAGATGTAAATTTGAGGAGTAAGATGTGCCTGATCTAAGCATATTTTCAATAACTTCATATGCATGTGAAAGCTGGACAGTGAATAAGGAAAACCATAGAAGAATTAATGCATATGAACTATGGTGTTAGAGTAGAATATTAGAAGTACCATAGACTGCCGAAAGAACAAATAAATCTGTGTTAGAAGAAGTACAGTCAGGATGCTCCTTGGAAGCCAGGATGGCCAGACTTCTTCTCTCATACTGTGGATTATTATCAGGTGGGACCAGTTCCTGGAGAAGGATATCATGTTTGGTAAAGTGGAGAGTTGAAGAAAAAGAAGAATACCCCTTCAACTAGATAAATTAGCACAGTGGCATGCAGCAATAGACTCAAGCTTAGCTATGATAGTGAGACTGGCATGGGACTGGGCAGTGTTTCATTCTGTTGTGCATAGGGTCATTATGAGTTGGTGCCACCTTGATGGCACCTAACACCACCAAAAACAATAAAGTTAAGGAAACCAAAAAACCAAACCCACTGCCATTGAGTTGATGATGGCAACTCATATCTACCTTGTACAGGGTGTCTGAGTCTATAAATCTTTACAAGAGCAGAGAGCCTCATCTTTCTCTCCCAGGGAGCAACTGGTGGGTTTAAACTGCCGACCATAAAGTTTTCAATTCAGTGTTTATCCTACTGTGCCACCAGGATACCTTAAGATAAGGGAAATAAGGCTCAAATAAATAAGATTATTTTCTCAAGTTTGTTCAAGTATCAAGTGACAGCACTGAGCATTAATCTTTGGTTCTCCCGTCCCAAAATCTGCATTGTAAATTGCCATCCAATGTTGTCACCTTCTGCTAATTAGCCAGGGTTGTTGGGGATGATGAATGGCATGAAGGTTTAAATGGGTCAGTACTGGAATGTATATGGGTAATTTCTTTTTGGACAGAAAGTTGACAGCATGTCTAGAGTCTATAATAAAATATTTCTCCTTCCTTGGATTACATATTTTAGTAATAATCTATGATGTGGTATTTCTTTGTACAAAGATGCTCTTAGAAAGTTATTTATAATAGAGAAAGTGGATACAAGCAAAACAACTCCACATCATTTGTTTTTAAAATCTACATCTATTTGCTAGAGTACTAGACAGTTGTCAACATTGCTACAGAGTAAAGGCTGTAATTAGCTGAAAGAATAATATTTTTATAGAATGCAAAAAAAAAAAAAATTAAAGTATGATGTATGTAATATGTTCTGAGATATATAAGGAAAAACTGTAGAACCTCAGAGGAAAGCATGTCTGTGCACAAACTGTTTCAAAGTACTGGAATTAAATAGTATTTCTGTATTCTTTCCTAATTTAGACAAGAACATTAAAAATCTTTTTGCATCTTAGTCAAGATTGAGAATCAGGAAACACATTTATCACCAGGTTTAAACTACAGAAAAAATGGGCTTGTGGAGGAAGACTCATTAACAACCAGAGATATGAAGATGGCACAACCTTGCTTGCTGAGTGTGAAGGGGACTGAAGCACTTGTTGATGAAGATTTAAAAAAAAAAAAAAAATACAGCATTCTGTGTGGCTTATATATCAATATAAAGACAACAAAAATCTTTACAACAATCATGATAAATGGAGAAAATATTGAAGCTGTCAAGGATTTCATTTTAGATGGATCAATAATCAACACTCATGGAAGTAACACTCAATAAATCAAACAAAATATTGGGCCAAGGGGGAAAACTGTAGTAAAAAACTTTCTTAAAGTGTTAAAATAAAGCAAAAACAAAGCATATATGTCACTTTGAGGACTAAAGTTCATGACCCCAAGCCAAGATAATTTCAATTTGATCATATGCATATGAAAACTGGTAATGAATAAGAAGACTGAAGAAAATTTGATGCATTGGATTATGGTGAAGAATAATGGATATACCATGGACTGTCAAACAAATCTTTCTTGGAGAAAGTATAACCAGAATGCTCCTTAGACATGTATTATGTATTTTGAACCTGTTCTCAGGAGGCACAAATCTCTTGGTGAAGTAGAGGGTTAGTGAAAGAGGAAGACCCTCCACAAGATGGACTGCAGTTGTTTCAACAATAGGCTCAAACATAGCAACAATTGTGAGGATGGCACAGGAATAGGAAACATTCTGTTCTGTTATACATAATGTCTATCTCACTGAGTCATTGGCATCTAACAACAATAACATATATGAAACAAAAGTTTTCAGCACCCATAACATCAGTAAGTACAGGACAATGGAACCTGAGAGCAGAAAATAAAAACTGAGCACATGACCATTCTATCTAATGCCTAGAGAAATCTCAGGCTGCAAGGCAGGGAGAGTGGACATCTGCATTTTGAAATGAGTGAAAACAAAACATAGTGTATTAAAGCTTGATAGATCATGACTAAAGTGTATTTATTGAAAGAGAAAATGAAAATTTCTCAAATAAAGGACCACAGCTTCTACTTTAAAAAACTAGGGAAAGAAAAGCAAATTAAACACAAAAGTAGAATATAGTCAGTAATAAAGATAAAAGTAACAAAGAAATGAAAAAAGCAAAGAATAGAGAAAGTCAATGAAACTAAGTTGACTCTCTGAGAAGATCAATAAAACTAGCAAACCTCTAACCAGATGGATCAGGAAGAGCAAGAAGACATATGTTACCAATATAAGAAATAATAGGGGTGATGCCACTCCAGATTCTAAAACACTAAGTGATGAAGGAGTTCTATTATAGACTTTGTGTTGAAAATTTAACAACTTAGATACAGTGGATAAGTTCCTTGGAAGAAAGAGTTGCCCTCAGTTTCACTTGAATAGCAGTGCTCAGTCATGTCAGGTTCCCACCCACAGGCTCTGTTTACAGTTTAACTAAACTGTAATACAAAAATGGCAGATAATTAAAGTTTCTGAAAGAAACTAAAAACTAAGTACAAATGTTATATAAAATGCTAAAAATAACATATATTTCTTAATAATGTTAAAACATTAACTTTTAAAAGCAAACTCATCACCCTGAAAGAGAGGTTGTTTTCAGTTCTGTTCCTGATGCACTGAGGGCTGCTTCATCCTTAGGCTGATGTGTGTGATCCTACAGCCAGATATACTTATCTATTATGTGAAAGAGAAGCAGCACTCTTTGGAAAATTGCTAATGCCTGTCTTGTGGGAAAGAGAAAATCTAAACGGGTCTTAAACATCGCTCCTCTAAAACTGCATTCTTTTTCTTTCAGGCCTAGACAACAAGTGAAGACCTAGAAAAATGTGAAAGTAGAACTGAAAAGATTAAAAATAATCAAACCTAAGACACCAAGATTTTGATAAAAACTTTTAAATAATTGAAATGGTCTAATAATTTTGTCATCAGTGTTACAATTTGATCATGTTTTATTCTTCAAGAAGTTTGAGGTATTTAAAAGAAGTTAAAATATTTTGTTTGTGAATTACCCAACATTTGGATTTGATTAAATGAGTTTAAGAAATATTTCAATATCAAAGAATAGATAACATAAATTTTTTGATTTATTAGTTGTATTGTTATTAAGTGCCGTAGAGTCACTTCTGACCCATAGTGACCTTGTATACAGTTTCAGAGGAGCAGCTGGTGAGTGTGAACTGCTGATCTTGTGGTTCAAACCGACTTTGACATCCAGTGCATTAGCCAACAGTGTCACACTAGAACTCCATTAGTTGTATAGGCAATGCTTAAAGGCGTAGCAGAACTTTAGCAAGTTTATATGATTAATAAATAGACAAGATCCCACTGTTTTGATACTTTACTGGTGAAGACAATGCACCAGCAGGCCTGAGGGTCCTTCCTGGGGTAAAGGCCACAGTGTTTCCAAAGGTGGGACTGAGTCTTTCATCTTTGCATGGTCATTTAGGGGAACAAGAAAAGAGTTTCTTAAGTGCTACTTTAAACTCCTTGTTTCTCAAGGTGTAGATAAGGGGGTTTAAAGTGGGTGTCACAATAGTGTATAGGACAGCAATGGCCTTGTCCAGAAGTCCACTAGATCCAAGGGCTGGACGGATGTAGCTGTAGAGCACAGTGGAGTAGTACAAGGTGACCACAATGAGGTGAGAGGAGCAGGTGGAGAAGGCACGGCGCTTGCCCTCAGCTGAGCGGATGCGCAGGATGCTGGCAATGATACAGCCATAGGACACCATGGTCAGCAGAAAGTTCAGGCCTGACAAAAACATGTCTGCAGTGATGGTCATGACATTATTGAGGAATGTTGGGCTGCAGGACAGCAGTAGCACAGGTGGGATCTCACAGAAGAAGTGTGCAATGAGGTTGGGGCCACAGAAAGTCAGCCGCAGGACAAGGCCAGTCAGCAAGGAGGCGTTGAATGCTCCTGTGAACCACACAAAGGCTGCCAAGGCCACACAGACCCTGCCACTCATGAGTGAGCTGTAGTGCAGTGGCCGGCAGATGGCCAGGTAGCGGTCATAGGCCATAGCAGTAAAGAGCAGCAGCTCAGAGCTCAAAGACCAGGTGAAGAAGAACATCTGACTCAAGCAGCCGCCAAAGGAGATGGTACTGTCAGCAACTAGGCTCTGCAGCACCTTGGGTAGGATGGATGAGGTGCAGATCATATCCAGCATGGCCAGGTTGACTAGAAAAAAGTACATGGGGGTGTGCAGGTTGGGGCTGCAGTGGATGGCTGCAATAATCAGGCCGTTTCCTGCCAGGGCCACTGTGAACAAAGTAAAAAAGATACAGAAGAGGGCCGCCTGGAGCCACGGGTCCTGAGTGAAGCTCTGCAAGATGAACAGAGTTACTGTGTGGTTCCCCACGACCATGGTGGCAGTCAGGCTGGGGGTCCTCAGGGAGTGTCACTTCCTAGTCAAGAACAAATGGACTGACTTATAACTAAGAAATAAAAATGAACAACTCCATTTAGTGAAAGACCTTTTATAGAAGGGAAAGCAGAGGTTTATAAGTTTCTACCCATGTTCTTGGAGTTCTGTTTATGCTGTGGGTTAGGCATGGGTCTGCAAGGTTGATGGGCTGCAAGGCTGTTCAAACCCAACAGCTGCTCTGTGGGATAAAGATGAAGCTGTCTGCTCTTGTAAACATTTACAAGCTCAGAAAACCTATAGGGGAGCTATGAGTCAAAATCAACCAAGTGGTATGTATTCATGTTCTTGGTTCACTAATTAAAGAAGCAAGCAAAGGACAAAAAATGTACCATGATGAACAAAAACAGAGAATGCTCATGTCCCCAAATGTTTTTAGGTTCTTGATTGTGACCCAGTCACACTGTCTCTAGAACAGAGAGTTCCCCAAGAAGTGGCAGAGAGAGAAACTGTTCAGTGTGTCCAAGTTCCAGAGACACTACAGAACCAGGTCTCCTAGAGGAGGAAAATGAGGTCAACAGGATCAAAAAGCAACAGGACTAGAAAGGGGAGATAGGAGAGGACAGAGGGAAACTGGTGTTGATTTTTAGGGAATAAGCACATGCAACACAGAGAGAAAAACATGTCAATAGCCTGCTGCAGGTGCCGGATATTGTTCAGGTGTGTGTTCTCTATGAACCACACACTTCCTATTTCACAGAGACAGAAGAAAGCCACCAAATGCCATTCTGGATTAAAGTCCAGTTGGCCATGGGCCTCCACCTGTCACCAGGACACTAAGGAAGAAAGGGGTCACCAGAATAGGCAAGTACTGGCCACAGGAAGCTGTGGCTGCAGGAAATTTAGGAAGGACTTCACTCTAAAGTGCTCATATGCAGACAGAATCTTCCAGGACACTGGGCATGCAAACACCTTGAAGACTCAGGGACTTTTTGGAGAGCAGTCAGAGGTCAGATACTTGTCCCCAACCTGTCCTCAATGCCACCCAATAGCCCCAAGGTTTTCAGAAGCTGGCCAGGAGACTCTGGGCAAACAGTGTAGAACCAGAACCCCCCTGAGCAGATGAGCTCCTGATGAAGAGGAAAGGAAGCTGCCCCATTCGACAGCAGTGGAGACAGAACACAGTGCCCGACTTCTTGGGTGCAGGTGCACTCTGGGAATGGAGGAGTGGTTTTACATTGGCCATAAAGGGATGTGGTGGGCCAACCATCCTGACTCAGGTGGACACACTCCTACAGGATGGTTAAGAATCTAGTAATTAAGGTCGATCAGACTCAAACCCTAACCTAGAGAGTGTGTGGAGTGGCTGCTCTTTGCTTCTCTCATCATAAGCTATTTTGTATGATTCCCCAGTACCGTAATCAGGTGGGGATAAATATCACGCTCATAAAGTAAGTTTCTGTTGCTGTGTCTATGAGATGCAGTTGAGTACCAGGATACTGTGAGTGTGGCCACTGTCCTTATAATTTGGGGCACTTGGTACATATTGTGTGAGTTCCAGCAGCCACACTGCCCTCCTAGACTCAGTTCATCACACTGTTGTGAGAAGGGCTTGGGAGTAGACCACCATGCCCTGGAAGGTAAACAGCACTCAGCATCAGTCCCTTCATTCAGCCCAGTGGCGTGACCTCCTTTTAGCTGCTAGTGTTCATACCAGTGCTGTCTACAGCTTGCTATCCCATACTCTTCCCACATTCAAAAACTAAAACAAAACAAAGGTGTAATAAAAAAAGCAAACAAATGCCTCCTAGCATGCATGTGGGACTTGTTAAAGTTTTCTAGTGCTGCCACAACACAGATACCACATGGGGGTGGCTGGAACAAACAGAAATTTATTTTCTCACAGTTTAGAAGTTAGTAGTCCAAATTCAGAGTGTCAGTCAGTGCTAGTTGGAAGATTTCTCTCTCTGTAGGTCAAGAAGAAGGTCCTTTTCTCTTAAGCTTGTTTCTTGGTTCCTTAGAGATCTCCATGTGGCTTGGCATCAATCTTTCCTTACCTTTGCTTCTTTCACTTGTTTGTTTAATCTATTTTATATCTCAAAGGAGAATGATTTAAGATACACTTTATATTATTTCTGTCTCATTAACATAACAAATAAAGCCCATTCCCAAATGGGATTATAATCACAGGCAGAGAATTAAGATTTACAACACCCATTTTGGGGGGCATAATTCAGTCCTTACAAGGAGCTCTGGTAGCATAGTGGTTACGAATCGGGCTGTAAACCTCAAGGTCAGCAGTTCAAAACTACCAGCTGTTCTGTGGGAGAAAGATGAGACTTTCTGCTCCCATAAAGATTTACAGCCTCAGAAACCCTGTACAGGGTTGCTATGAGTCGGAACTGACTCCACAGCACATCACAACAACAACAATTCAGTCCTTATAGGGTGTTGTAGGATAATCATGGGACTGCTAACCACAAGGTCAGTGCTTCAACCCTTCCAGCTACTCCTTGGAAATGCTATCCAAGGTCACTATGATCAGAATCTACTTAATGGTACTTAACAGAAGCAACAACAATTGAGTCCATAACAGTCCTTCAACAGGACTGCTTTTCTGTCTTGTACTGATTCTAGGGGAAAGGACCACAACCAGTGGTCCTGGTAGGGGTCCAAGAAGCACTTTACCTATGGGTAGATCAGCCTGCTGCCATTGACCTACAAGAACTTCAGATCCAGTCCCTCTTACTTCCTGCAGAGGATATTAAATGTCAGTCTGAATATTCTACCAATTGGCTCTTTAGTCACTGTCCCAGCTATGTGCAGATGAGGGCTGGTGGGACCAGCAAACAAAAATGCAGGTCACCCATGTGTATTTGAATCCCAGATTAATACTGAGTACATTTTTAGTATAAGCATACCCCAAACATTGTATGGGAAATATAAGGAGGCGTCTTAAAGTTCATGGAAAATTGTATTATCTTTCAATTCCATTTTTCCACAAAGTTTTTTTAAGCTCCCGTGTACTTTCCCTAAATACTATTTGCTGTGAATCTGAAATTCACATTTACAAGGGTGCTCTGTATTTTTATAGACATAACCCCAACACCCTTTGTCTGACTTTGTTCACAGAAATCCATGAACATGGCTCTCAGACCTTACATTCCTTTTGAAAGCTCAACTCACTCATGCTCACCTCATATGCCTTCCAGGAGCAGACAAATACAAACTGAGCACCTGCTTGTCTGAGACTGTGGAGTCAGGTCCAATTTTGTGGCCCCCTGGTTAGTGTGAGTGAACTTGGGGACCTCTGCACATCACAGTAAGAGCATGCCCTACAGCATCAGATTGGATAGGAATGTGGGGACCTGAAGAGATGAGTATACTATGAAAATGGAATAGGGAGCAGGGACCTTAGTAGACAACAGAGCTTGGGTGGCTTTGGCACAGATGTGGTTTTGAGGAATAAATACAACCCCGCTCCCTGAGAAGCAGAATCTATGATTGGGATCCTTTTGGTTCCTGAATAATTTCTGAAACCTGTCCATTATGTTTTTGTGCAGTCTTGAAAGCAAAATTCTTTATTTTCTAAAAATGGGGATTTATGCTGTACTAGGCATTCTAGGGCGAGCTTTTCTCAGAGACTGAAGAGGAGACAGAGAGACAACCAGACAGATAAAGAGAAAGGAACGAATACAGAAAGACAAAGAGAGAAACAGACAGACACAGAAAAGGGGACCAAAAAAAAGAGTATGAGCTAGCAATGTGGCCTTACTCTCCCTCCCCACACCTGACTCCCCACTCCTGACCACCTTGCACCCTGAGCTGCAGAAACCAATGGCCCACTCAATCCTAACTCCTATTTTCCCTTACACACTTTTTTCTTTAATATTGAAATTCAGACGCCCTCACTAAATACAGACATGCTCACAGAAGCTTGTTTATGTCCTTCTGACATAAGGAGGACTGTAGAGCTTCATGAGATGATTTTCTGGATCACAAAGGTAGGTAGAAGGCATAACATAATTTTTAAAAGCAATTCTCATAATATCCTTTTGCTGTCTCATGACATACTCTAGACAAGTCCCTAAAATAAGTCAACCCAATAGCTATCAGTGTACACATACCCCATGAGGCACTTGCTTCTTGCAGCAAGGACACATCCATGTCCCTTAACCCGGGGCAGAAGCCCCTTCTCTCACCCTACAAGGTACTCCGGTGCAACCATGGTCTGATGATCACGGGTCCAGAGACATGCTGGAAACAGATGGCCTTGGTTTAAGTAGAGGGAGCCCTGGCTATGTGACGTAAACCTTGGAAGCCACCTCACCCTTGGGAGTCTTTTTGTATGTATCACAGAAATGGCATCAGCTTTGGCTGTGACCTGTGACCATAGGGAAAACACTAAGGTCAGTAAGAGGAACAGTCCTTCAAAAAGAGGGGTAGTGCCCCTCATAGGGGTTACTGGGTCCACCCCAGTAATTATTTTCTGACACCTTCCGTAAGGACACACTTTCCTATGGGTGACATTCAGATGCCTTGTGCCAACAGAAATTCTGCAATAGAAATGGCTCATGAATGAGTACTATCTGTAGTTGGGTGAACCAGAGTCAGTGGGACTCTGGTGAGGTCCCAGTCCTCATGCTGAAGTCCCCAGGAGTTCCATAATATCAGCTGCATCATGCCACTTTTATCTTCCTCAGAAAGTATTTGTGTACCTGACTAAGTGCTAATTAATTTCATATTGAAAACTGATATCTCATCACCTTTGGAATTACAGAAGAATTAATTAGTAGGAAAATAAATATGTTAGTCACTTTGAAAATGGCCAATTAGCAATGTAAGTGCTAAGCTAGTTCTTATCTGAGAAAAAAAACAGAATTTATAAAGAAGACTATGAAACTTGACTTTGATTAATTTTAGGTAGGATAAGTTAAACTGATGTGAATCTACAACAGGGCAATTTCTTAGGTGAATCTAGACTTCATTTTACTAATATATCAACTGCT